TTAGGGTGAGACAACCTAGCTTTCGCTATTTTCGTTTCAATCAGATTCCCCAAGGTAAGTTTACACTGTTAGTCTTGCTTAACTGTATTTTATAGTAAAAGGGTTCTTCTGTTTTGTAACCTCCTTAATGAAATATTTGCCTTTATTCCTTGTTTTGACAGAGGGCTGCCTTCAGATGTCTTCTAAAAGTTGTGTAGGTCTTTTATCTCCTTGACATCTGGAGGGAGGGTGTTCCACAAGGAACACTGTTCTAGGGATATACATGGTGAATTGGCTTGTTTATTTATAAAGTGCTTTATCCAAACCTTTAAGCCTGGGATTCCCATGGCAACCTCATACAGCTCATTGGTGCATGCCCAGGCCCTCTCCTCTACCATTTTCAATTATTTTTGTTAATGAAATGAATTTTGCATTTTAAACTGAAGATGGAGCCAAAGTGACTGTAGAGTGGCATCTAGTGGCTCCTTAAGGCCCTCTCCTCTACCATTTTCAATTACTTTTGTTAATGAAATTAATTTTGCATTTTAAACTGAAGATGGAGCCAAAGTGACTGTAGAGTGGCATCTAGTGGCACCTTAACTTTTCTCCAGAATGTTTCTGGATCCCACATGGGGCCTATAGAGAAGATAGAGGGAGCAGACAAGCTAGAGACATAAGGTACATAGAAGCATTGGTGGGCTTACCTGCCCCTCCCCAATATTTTATTCAAGTTGTTGACCCTGCTTTGGCCATCCACTAATCAGTAACTTGCAGTTCAAAAGACAGTGATTAGAAAGGCAGGGGGGTAAATATTGCTTAAGCTATATTGAATCTCTTCTGAATTACAGTAGATAAGAATGTGGACCTACCTGATTAAACCATCTATGCCATATTATGGCGTCTTCATCAAGGGTTAATTTTTGGTCTGGAGGAGCTTGTGGATCTATCCTCCCAACTCTCACTCTGTGCAAACTTTGGTTGGGGAATATGATCCAGTTGACAATATCCAAGCTAGATGCTGCCTCTCCATTCTGGTTGATGAAGACCACATCTCCTGCAGTATTGTTAAATGAAATACTTCTCAGAAAGTGATGGAGCTGGATTGAAAACAGAAAAGACAGGTATTTAGAAAAGACTACAGTCTAATACAGGGCCGAGAAACATTTTTTCCTGTGTGCAGAGCATTCAGCGAATGGTGGGTGGTGATTTAGGCAACTGTGAGTGGAGTCAGGTCCAAGCATGGAGAGAGACAACCCATTTTCTTTCACAAGTATGCCAGTCTCCTTTTCTTACCCAAATTATTGATAGTCTCTCTCTCCCTGTCTACCTCTGCTTCCACTGTTTAATGGTATGGAATGGGGAATTGGACCAAAATATTAAATTCCATGTTCAATTTCTTGAGGTTAACTGATGATGTCATAACTTCACAATATACTGTGATTTTTTTAAAAACGGTGACAGAAGTTTTCAGTCCTGCCAACTTTTGCTATTTTAAACAATGTATTGGAAAACTTTGATGCTATCTAAGCCTTTTAAGGCTGGATTCAGCTGATACTACTGCCGTTAATGCATGACTGACTAGGCTAAAGGCCCACAAACATTACCCTCCAGTCACCTCAGAACAAGTTGTAGGAAAATATGAGAAGTGTGAAGGAATCATGCTTATTCTCTGATATGAGGAATAAACATCTTCACTTTTTGTGGCTTCCTGTTGTGCATATCTTAAGGACAAACCTTTCATCCCAAGTTCATTTTTTTTGTACTGAGAATATGTGACTTGTATGATCAAGTTGGCTGTGGCTTTGTGCTTCTTCACCTGGTCTTTAGGATTGCTTTATTTTGTATTACCTTTAAAACTTAGAAGAAATATCCACAGGAATTGCTCTGTTATAGTTTGAAACTATAACAGAGGGCAACAACTTTCCTCCTCCTGCTTTCCTCAGACCCATTTTAATTAAGGAACCTAAATAATATTACATGTTTCAGTAGGAAAGGGCAAATTTTACCAAGGAAATTCAGGGTATACAGTGGTATCTCAGGTTAAATACTTAATTCGTTCTGGAGCAAACAAACTACACTATGAAGCCACAATTTCTTCTTGGCTTACTAACTGTGGTTTGTTTGAGCACACCAAACCAAAATCACTGGCTTGGATTTATCACAAAGTCAGGGACCATGGTTTGTTTACTCATCCTAACAGAGGAGTGAGGCTGGAGCAATCTCCACATTCATTATAAACTTTATAATGACGTGCAAACTGGACATTCAGGTTACAGACTCTGCTAACCCAGAAATAGTACCTCAGGTTAAGAACTTTGCTTCAGGATGAGAACAGAAATCTTGTGGTGGCAGCGCTGCAGCAGCAGTGGGAGGCCCCATTAGGTAAAGTGGTACCTCAGGTTAAGAACAGTTTCAGGTTAAGAACGGACCTCCAGAACAAATTAAGTTCTTAACCCAGGTACCACTGTACAGGCTTTTGCAATGAAGCTGTAGAAATGTACCAAATGTTTTCTGGCACATTATGAGTTGAAACAAGTGTTATCAAACAAAATATTTGTAAATATGATCTAAATGATTTCTGAGAGATGTGATTTATTTGTCTATATGCCTAAAGGTAAAGGTAAAGGGACCCCTAACCATTAGGTCCAGTCATGACCGACTCTGGGGTTGCGGTGCTCATCTCGCTTTATTGGCTGAGGGAGCCGGCGTACAGCTTCCGGGTCATGTAGCCAGCATGACTAAGCTGCTTCTGGCGAACCAGAGCAGTGGACGGAAACACCGTTTACCGTATTTTTCGCTCCATTGGACGCACCGGACCATAGGACGCACCGGACCATAGGAGGGGGAGAACAGGAAATTTTTTTTCTTGTTCTCCCCCTCTAAAACAAGGTGCGTTCAAGGTACATTCACCAGAGCTTGTGGGGCTGGCGGTGGGGGGAAGCGCTGCTCAAAGAACCCTGAAGCCTTTGGAGCGCAGCGCCCCGCTGCCCTGCAGAGGTTTGCGCACAGCCATCCCCAAGGTAGAACAGCGAGACGGAGCCCTCCGTCTCACTGTTCTGGCTTGGGAACAGCCTTGCTAGCTTCTGCAGGACAGCGGGGTGAAGACACCCCGCTGCCCTGGAGAGGCTGTGCGAGCAGCCGTCCCCAGGCTAGAACAGCGAGACAGAGCCGATAGCCTAGGCACACTGGCCTTTGAAGGGAAATTCTCCTTGGCCGGTGGATCTCAAAAGGGACGGGTCTTTCCAACCCAAAAGGCACTATAAATGGGCCGCTCACTGGTGTCTCATGGAGGGCACTGCCTTCCTGGCTGTAGGCATTGGCTGCTGTCTCATCTGGCCTGGCAGTGAGGCTTAAAAGGGCGGTTGCAGGAGGCTCTCGCAGCACGGCTGGGTGAAGAGCGACACCCTCGCACCCTCCCTTATTATTTCCAATTACATTTCACAATTCCAATCACAATTCATAACACACACATCTATACTAAAAATGCAATCCGTGCACAGCAATCAAAGTTTAATTTATATTTTGTGTGTTCTTTCATATATTAAGAAAGGAGATGATTTGTCCCCTTCCTCCGCCCCCAGATGAGAACAGGAATTGAATCCCGATGGGTGCTGTTTGCATAGGAGCACCCTGAAACTAGCTGGATCAATTTTTTCCCCAAACCAGCTGCTAAGCAGAAGTTTCTGCTTTCTGCACGGGGGGCATAATCTTACAGACACTCATTAACAAACCTAGTTAGCTTGCTGTATAACAGTGCAGATGTCTATGCAGAAATAAGTGTTTTAAGATTTAATGGGCCTTACTCCCAGAGAAATGAGTACAAGCTGGCAATGTAGGCTCTGGTTTATGGTTGAAACTAAGAGAAAGCAGTGGCTTTGTGCCCTTAAGAGCTGTATAACAGGAGGTATGATTTAGAGGTTAAGCCTGGATTCCAGAAAGCTGAGGTCCATTATGGGAATACAGATGCAATCTGAAGATTCTCTTTTCTCTTTGATTCCACTTTCAATCTGATTAAACTCTGGTTGACTTGTATTCTCCATTCATCATGGTTAGTTCTAATAAATTTTATCTGCTAATCAAACGTTGGCTGAAGGATGCCAACAGTCAGTGGAAAGTCCAACAATGTACTTGCCAGAAATATAATACGTATTTGTATTAAGTATATAGTGTTCTGATCCATCACTTGTGTTGGTGAAAAAACTTTTCAGTTGTGGCTTTGTTGAATGCTTTTCCCAGTGAACTGTGCATGGTTCTTTGTTGCCATCTTTTCCAAGCACCAGGGCAGAAATCATTCACACTTTCTTATCTAGTTCTCTGAATTTCACCAAGGAGACCTGATTTAGACAAAATCTTGGGGGGAGGGAACCCAATTCAATGGGGGGTATATTATTTCACAGTATATAGATAATATATAGAACTCACTGCCAAAGGAAACAATGTTGAAGACAGTGCATTTGCTTTTGGATATGGCTTGAAGGTTTAATCTCTCTGTAAACAAGTCGTACAGTGACAATAAAGTATTTCTATTTCCCACAGGAATCTGGTTGGTCAGTGTGAGTACAGGCTGCCTTATGAGATTGGCCATTGGCCTGACTCAAGAGGATCATCTTACATATTTACGATCTTAAGTATGGATAGGTTGAGGTTGAAATCTGACTGTGAGCAGGGCAGAACCAGAGACCATAAATGAATACTCAACTATTCCATGGCCTGCAATAGCACAGTTTTCACATTATGCTTAAAGCTGTGAGAATTAAGGCTAGATACAGATTTGCTTACTTGTATATTTTGACAAGAATTGCTCTGAGTCTTCTTGTCAACACATGCTACAAGAGAATAATGTATGTGGAAATGTATTCCTCAAAGCAAATGAGTGAATTTTACAAAGGAAATTTCAACTATGGGAATTTGGAGTCTAGAAAAAATTGTAAAAGGGAGCAGCTGAACTTATGTTTCCAAATATTCTACTGTAAATACAGAGAAAAACACAAAATACAGCAGATGACAGGTTTCTCATTTCTTTAATTTTTCTTCCTTATTAGTTGATCCCTATTGTTCAGCTCAGGCCTCAGAATGATTATATAACATTTGGGGAAGAAGATGCAACCCAGCAACCCACCACCAGAGGCTAAGATGGAGAAGATCTCCACAGCTACCATATATTTCCCCTTGGTGCTCAGGTAGGAGGGAATAAAGGACAGCCAAACACTGCAGAAGACCAACATGCTGAAAGTAATAAACTTGGCTTCGTTGAAACTGTCCGGTAACTTCCTGGCGAGGAAAGCCACAGCAAAACTTACAGTGGCCAGGCAGCTCATGTAGATGAGGACACAGTAAAACATTGTTACAGACCCTTCATTACATTCTAGTATAATTTCTTCTGTCATTGAGTGCATGTCCACATCTGGGTATGGGGGAGAGGTTGCCAGCCACACAGTGCATATGCCTGCTTGAACAATGGAGCAGGAAAGGAGAATGGAGTGGCCTAGTCCTTTGCCCACCCATTTCCTCATCCTGGATTCTGGTTTTGTAGCCATGAAGGCCAAAACCACAGTGAAGGTTTTTGCCAGGACACAAGAGACAGCGGTTGAGAAGATGATGCCAAAAGCTGTTTGTCGGAGGAGGCAGGTCACCTTCTCAGGTCGGCCGATGAAGAGCAATGCACAAAGGAAGCAGAGCAGGAGAGAGATGAGCAGAGCGTAGGTGAGGTTTCGGTTGTTTGCAATGACAATGGGTGTGGCATGGTGTTTCATAAATGTACCTAGTACCAGAGCTGTGATCAAGGAAAGGAAAAGAGAAAATGAGGCTAAACTGATGCCCAAAGGTTCTTCATAAGACAAGAAGCTTATATCTTTGGGTAGACATGCATCACGGTTTCTGCTTGGATAGTATTTGTCTGGACATTTATGACAGTCATTCATATCTGGGGGGAAACAAATATATTAGGCCTTACATTTCAATTTGGTGAAATGTTTACTTTCTGTCTGAGAAGAAAAGAGCTCTGTTTAAATCAAAGGACATGTTTAGTACTGTTTTATGCTATGCAATGTAGTATTGTTGTAATCTAAGCTTTGTCTATGTCATGGATATGCCACTAAACCACATGAGACCGTGCGGGGAAAAGTACAGTTACATACGCTTCAGGTTACATACAGTTCATGTTACAGACTACGCTAACCCAGAAATAATACCTCGCGTTAAGAACTTTGCTTCAGGATGAGAACAGAAATCATGAGGCGGCGCAGTGGCAGTGGGAGGACCCATTAGCTACAGTGGTGCTTCAGGTTAAGAACAGTTTCAGATTTAGAACGTATCTCCGAAATGAATTAAGTATGTAACCAGAGGTACCACTGTAGTCCAAAGTGTTTAATTCTGTACAGAAGGTTCAACTGGCCTCTGGGGACACCGAGGAGAGATGCAGGTGGGTTCGCCCGATGTGGCTTCCTCTTTGGGTGGTTTACCCTTACTGACTTCCTGCAAAGGGGGCAGGAGTCTCATATAGTCCTTTGCCAATGCCTAAGCCAATACCACTCACATTTCTATAATCAATAAAGTTGTGGCCCAAAATTTTGCCCCAATAATCTTAAACTAAGATTCTGTGTCAGTGTGAATCTTATTCTAACAAGGGGCTGGTTTGGGGGCCTTGCCACAGAAGAAGGAGAAGGAGAAGGAGAAGGAGAAGGAGAAGGAGAAGGAGAAGAAGAAGAAGAAGAAGAAGAAGAAGAAGAAGAAGAAGAAGAAGAAGAAGAAGAAGAAGAAGTGCTTTGAACCACATACCATCCAACTACTCTGAATGCATGGTCATTCTCATTTGATTAGCATATTTAAACTATCTGAAAGGCAATGATCAGAAAGAGGCAGGATCACACACACAGTAGATTATCTCTTTTGAAAAGTAAACTCAGCCGTCCTTACAACACCTTTCAATTACTAGTGCTGAGTTTGGATCTATTTAATCTATTTATTTCTCCTACCATCCTGGTTTGCAATCTTCCCCTCTGCACATGGGATGCAATCGTAGCAGCAAGGTGGCTGTCCCTCCTTCACTTTCTTGCTGGATCCTGGAAGACATCTCTCAGTACAGAGAGAAAGAGGCCGAGTCTATTCCGTAAATGAAAGAGCAGAAGGATCAGCAAGAGAACAATGAATTTGTTAATCTTCATGTTCCTGGGCCCCTCTCTATGTTACTAAGCTGAGTCAGCATTTCAGCAATATGTAAAATGGTGTGTGTTTTTTAGTACAGTGGTACCTTGGGTTATATATGCTTCAGGTTACATACGCTTCTGGTTAAAGACTCCGCTAACCCAGAAATAGTGCTTCAGGTTAAGTACTTTGCTTCAGGATGAGAACAGAAATCGTGCTCCGGCGGCGCGTCAGCAGCGGGAGGCCCCATTAGCTAAAGTGCTGCTTCAGGTTAAGAACAGTTTCAGCTTAAGAACGGACCTCCAGAACGAATTAAGTACTTAACCCGAGGTACCACTGTAGTAGTAATGTTTGAAATGATGTCATACTCCCTCTATTGTTCTGGGATGTGTAGGTGTTGTGATTACATAGCAGTTCCCCACTTTTTAGCAAGAAAGGCAAAATCCTGGGGCTTATCCTCTTTTCCTCAGTTAAAAACCAGTATTTGATAATTGTTAAGAAATATTTATAAAATATTTGTAAATATAATAAAATAAAACATTTGCCTTTATTCCTTGAGTGACTTCTAGCAGTAAGATTTTGGCTCTTAATCTGGTACTTGGATGAAGAAGTGTTTGGACTGGATATCCCACTTTATCACTACCCTAAGGAGTCTCAAAGCAGCTTACATTCTCCTTTCCCTTCCTAGCCCACAACAAACACTCTGTGAGGTGAGTGAGGCTGAGAGACTTCAGAGAAGTGTGACTAGCCCAAGGTCACCCAGCAGATGCATGTGGAGGAGCGGGGACACGAACCCAGTTCACCAGATTAACCACTACATCACACTGGCACTCTGTATGCATTGGTCATGTTCTACACAGGAACATGCAGTTTAAAAGACAGTGAGTAGACATGCAGGTGAATGATCATTGCTTAGGCAATACAGTGGTGCCTCGCAAGACGAAATTAATTGGTTCTGCAAGTTTTTTCTTCTTGCGAGTTTTTCGTCTAGCGAAGCACGGTTTCCCATAGGAATGCATTGAAAATCAATTAATGCGTTCCTAGGGAAACCGCTTGCCAGGCTGGCGGTGCGGAGAAGGGCTTTTCTCCCCACCGCAAGCCTTCAGGACAGGTACGGGAACAGAGGGGAAGGCGCGCAGCGCTTTCCCTCTGTTCCCGGGGCTTGCGTGGAAGGAGGGATTTTCCTCCACACCGCCAACATTCAGAACAGCATTCTGAATGTTGGCGGTGGGAAGGAAAACCCTCCTCCCACCCCAAGTCTTCAGGAAAGCCATCCGAAGCTGGGCGGCGGGAGGAGGCGTTCCCCCCCCGCCCGGCATCGGAGCTTCGTTCCGATGCCGGGCGGGGGGAGGAGGCGTCCCCCCCCCCGCCCGGCATCGGAGCTTCATTGGGGGAGGAGGCGTTCCCCCCCCGCCCGGCATCGGACCTTCGTTCCGATGCCGGGCGGGGGGAGGAGGCGTTCCCCCCCCGCCCGGCATCGGAGCTTCGTTCCGATGCCGGGCGGGGGGAGGAGGCGTTCCCCACCCCACCCGGCATCGGAGCTTCGTTCCGATGCCGGGCGGGGGGAGGAGGCGTCCCCACCCCACCCGGCATCGGAGCTTCGTTCCGATGCCGGGCGGGGGGAGGAGGTCCGAGGACAGTGGGGAAGATGCGCTGCGCTTCCCCGCTGTCCCGGAGATTTCCCTATGGGCTGTCGTCTTGCGAAGCAAGCCCATAGGGAAATTCGTTTTGCGAAGCGCCTCCAAAACGGAAAACCCTTTCGTCTAGCGGGTTTTCCGTCTTGCGAGGCGTTCGTCTTGCGGGGTACCACTGTACTGAATTTCTTTGGAATTATCGAATAATGTGGTCCTACCTGATTAAACCAACTGTGCCATGTTATGGCATCTTCATCAAGGATGAATGATTGGTCTCGAGAAGTTTGCGGATCTATCCTCCCAACGCTTACTCTCTGCAAACTTTGGTTGGAGAATATTATCCAATTGACAATATCTAAGCTAGATACCACCTCTCCATTCTGGTTGATGAAGACCACATCTCCGGCTGTATTGTTAAATGAGATGCTTCTCAGAAAGTGATGGAGCTAGATTGAAACAGAAAAGGCAATTGTTTGGAAAAAGCTGCAGTCTAATGCAGGGTAGAGCATTATTTTTTTTCTTCCTGTAGGAAAAACCTACAGCAATTGGTGGGGGTGAATCAGTCAAGTGTCAGTGGCTTCAGATCCAAGCATGGAGAGACCACCAATTTACTCTCTTCCACATCCCTCTCTCCCCCTCTCCCATTTTTACAGCTTTCTTTATCTCCCCCGCCCCACACCTCTTTCCCTTTTTCCCTCTTTCCCTCTTCATCACAGGAGACACCACAGTGGTGTATGATCACATGATCTGAGGGAGGATTTGGTGTATATGGGATACAGAGAATGCTGAACATCTCTCTTGACCTTTACCACTGCTTCTTATCTGTGAATGCAGTGGCATCTCAGTGATCTGAAAATTTCTCTCATAGAAGCGCTTTTTCATCTCTGAGATGAATGAGCAAGGTGACAACACTGTGGAAACCCATACCTTGTGGGGGAATAACAGGCCTCTTCCAGTTGAGGATGTTTAGCCGATTACCTGCCAAAACTGTGGATTCGGATTCTTCCCTCTCCGTCCATATGCCATTCTTCTGTGCCTGAGTCTGGATGTGAACATAGCATGTAGAGCATGGGCCATGGCATAGACAGCATTGTGGATACTGTAACTATGGCCTGTCATGCTCATTTCAAAAAATGATCCAGGAAGGTTCTCCAGCTTCTCTTCTCCGGTGCAAATATTCCCCTCCACCTTGTCTGAAGTCATATCTGGGAATACACATCCAAAGGCCTGTTGCCAGAAGTCCCTGATAAAACCGTCCCCATCTGGGCTGGAAGGGTTTCTGTGCACAACATACTGATGAAATCCTGGTGGGTTTCTGAAGTGAATCTCAAAGGCTATAACACCATTGAATATTCCTGCATCCCAGTTCCTTTGAATGACAAATGAAGTGAACTCAACCTGGGAAGTTGTTATCCATACTTTACTCTTTATATTGTATGACATGTCATCATGTTCTGATAGGTATGGAAGCCATCTAAAAGCTGCCATGGAATAAGATTCTCCATGGGCAACTATTACATTAGCTGTGCTGCTAAAAATTTTATAGTTTATACTTGTCCCCTGTTGTAGCATGCCATCAATTTCAGAAATAAAACTTAAACTGGGGACTTTTTCCAGGAATGCAAAGCAGACACCACTCTTGGTAAATATTGGGGAAATGGTTTGCACAAATCTTTCTCCGTTGTCATTGTCCATTGCAATGAGTCCAATCCACGTCCACCTGAAATGCAGAAGCAAAGAGAGAATTCCCTCATACTGAAGGGCTTCTGAGGCTGCCATCTGGTAGAAGGGAAGCCCTGGGCTTTTATCATTCATCACCGGAACAGAGCCATAAATGAGCTAAAAAGTAAATGGAAGAAGAGAAGAGACAAAGTAGATTCCTTTCACAGTATTCATATATATTATTAGGCGAACCCTGTTAGTTAGTTTCAAGGTTTGTTTGCCTCTCTCTCAGTTTTACAAAAGACACATATGCAGATGGGCTGAAAACTGGGATCATCTCCCTTTTCTCATTTTTAAACCTTTGATTTGATGAATGGAGAGGGAAATCTGTCTGTTTTATATTATTTTTATGGATGTTGTTAACACATTGATGACTGAAGCAGGGCATTGTGTCTACTTCACTTAAAAACAAACAAAAGTTTTTTATGTCATTGCAAAATTTGGCAGGGTCTTGTACAATGGATAAAACTGGATGGGGGAACATACCATGCCCCAAACAGCAGATTTCCTGGACATTATCTGGCTTTGTCAGAATTGCAACTTGGGTTAGATGCACATTTCTTCTCTGCAGCTTCGTCGTTCTTCTTCATGCTGCACATGCCCCATCACACAGCAAAACTGTGTTGATTCTTCTCAGACTTTATTTATGAACATTTATTTCACTTGTGAATCAGCTGCTATCTACTATTACTTTTCTCCTGCGGAACTGGATTCTATCTGCAGTTTCCCATAACTTCTCTTTTTTCTTTAAATATGTCAGGTGTGCTAAAGAGGTATTGTACTGGCTCCTACTTGTAAGGTTTTTTTAGCTGTAACCATTTCCCCCACTTCCCCAGCAACATATTTGACATGCCCTCCTCACTAGTTTTTCCATTGGCACCTAAAATCTTATTGCTTTTATCCAGTAAGCAATTATCCCTCTCCCTCAGAAACTTATTTTAGATACCCTCCTAACTAAGCAGAAAATCATGCATAATGATAAACTGTTGGTGAGAGAGAAGCCCACTCTCCCATCAGCAGCCTTTGGCATATACTGTAAGTGAACTAAATGTGTGTGTAAGACAGGGAAAGTTACATATTTTTTCAGGTATTGCAACCTTCCCCTTTATTCAGGTTTGTCTGTCTGTCTGTTTGTTTCCTTATATTACAATTATGTACCATCTTTCTTTTCCAAGGATCTCAAGGTGGTTTACATGGTTCTGCTCCCAATTTCATCTTCACCCTGAACTGATGCTGAGGAACCTCTTCCTCTACACAAGCTATTAGAGGTATTGTACATAGGTGTCCTACCTGCGGAATCTTATAGATATCCAAAACAGTGGCCACATAAAAGGAGATTTCAGAATCCAGTCCCCCAATGACCCCAGTCAGATTATTTTCAACATCACATATATAGTTTGGGACAAATCTCTTCACCATGGATAAAAGCAGCAGTGTGGCAAGATATGTGCTCCTTGCAGCGATATAGCTGTCATATAAGTGGAAGCCCAAGGTGATATTGGGTAAGATGTGAGGGTCTTCGTTGATCTCCTTGACTGCAAATGCCAAGGCCACGATGTGCTGGTAACCCTTAGGCACCACCCTAGAATGAGAGTTGCAAACTGTATCAGCAGAAACTTCAAGAGATGTTTCCCTTTACAGACTAGTTAATCACACTGAGTTCAGGGGCGTTTACACTCTGCCCGTTCTACTATTTATTAGATCTTATCAGTGGAAAGTTCTTCCTGATGTTTAGTTGAAATTTCCTTTCTTGTAACTTGAATACCCTGATTTGGAGCAAGAGAAAACAAGTGTGTTCCATCTTCCTGGTGACAGTGCTTGAGATATTTGAAAATGGCTATCATTCCTCCCCTCAGTCTCATCATAGCTAAACCCATCAAACTCCCTCAACCATTCCTCATAAGGCTTGGTTTACAGACCATCTTTGTTGCCCTCCTCTGCACATGTTTCAGCTTGCTAATACGTATCCTTCTTAAATTGTGGTGGTCAGAACTGGATACAGGACTCCAGGTGACCAAGGCAGAATAGAGCAGTACTAGTACTTCCTTTGATCAGGACACTATACTTCTCTTGATGCAGATCCCTTGAACCTTTCCACATTTACTACTGGCAAGCCAAGTGTTCCTCATCTTCGATTTGTGCATTTGTCTCTACTGAAATTCATGTTGTTACTTTTGTCCCAGTTTTCCAATATTTTAAGGTGTATCTAGAGTTGGGGTTGCTAATGTGGGGCTCATGGGATGTCTTCCCTTACATGTCTGAGGTCTTTTTCTGACACTTACAAAGTCTCTGGTCTCTCTGGTCTCTCTCTGCAGTGACTTCATTTTCATGAGTCAGTGATCGTCGTTCGAATCCACTAAATTCTATACTTCATAATAAGTACCTTTCAGTGCTGAAACAAATGTTAGTCTAAGTTCAGAAAATGAAAGCATAAGAACCTTCAGTCTCAGAACAGGTTTTTAAGAATTCGTTCTTACTCACACTATAGTAGTTCAGATAAAGTCTATCAAAATTTGCTGTTCAAAAGGCCTCCCCCAGACACACAAACGTGCATACATTTCAATACATTTATATTCTTTTCTCCATCCAGAAATGAGAATTTCGCCTGTATTCTCTTAATTCACAAGAGATTCCTTCCAGTTTTTTGCCCCAGCATAAGTCCCATTCATATCTAAAGTGGATTTCCCTAGGTAAAAGTGTAAAGGTTTGCAGTCTCTGTCATTATTCTGAGGCTGCAACTCTAGGTTTGATCATTAACATGGATGTAATAAATGAGTGGCTTACACAAGCTGTTCAGGCTGCGCTGGTGGGGGTTCCTCAGTGAATGTTGCTGGAGAGGAGAAGAATCCACCATGGGAAACAATCCCACCAATGAGGAACTCTCCTGGCTGATGATACGTGTGAAGTGGATGGTGTGGACCTTGGAGGATGCATTTCGCTATGTGTGCTAGACATACATTGTAAGAAATCACTTCCAGCAGCAAGAACACTAAAACCACCATTCTCAATACAAAGGCAACTGTTTGTTCTGCATGGAACCCATGATTTCTCTGGCAATATTATAATTAGTTTCTCCCCCCAAAAAATTTCTCATTTGAACGGTAGTTAAGTTTCTTGAGACGATGCAATCTGGGAGTATGAATGATCAGACTTGTTGATCCCAGACCCTATTTAAATTATTCTGGTTAATTTTAGTATCCTTTCCGTTACTTTTGCAAATGGCCCCTGAAAGTCCAGAGGGAATTTTGAGGAGCAGCAGATTTAATTATAGCCCTGTTAATAACCAAGCTGGAATTTAGTTATTTATTCAATGCTTGCGAACCCCTGTGGAATTGCAGAAGAATATGTGTTTGTCACATATTCGGAACTATTGTGTTTTATTCCCTTTCAGTGGATAATAAGGGGCCAGTGGTGTATTGGTGAAGTTAGAAGTTCATAATAGAAGACCTTGTAAACAATGGAGACTCCTAAATGTAGTACGGTGTTGTCAGCATCTTGAAATTTGACTGAGTGGACCTGGATCCACATGAACCATGTGGCAATGACCCCTCACCACTTTTCCAGGGGGCGACAGTTGTGTTCCCTCAGTCTCAGCCTCCTTCCCCAATGGCCTAGGCACACAAATTTGCTGGCCTTTGGAGGGGAATTCTCCTTGGTCGGTGGATCTCAAAAAGGAGGGGTCTTTCCAACCCAAAAGGCACCATAAATGGGCCACTCACTGGTGCCTCTTGGAGGGCAGTGCATTGCTGGCTGTGGCTATTGGCTGCTTTCTCATCTGGCCTGGCAATGAGGCTTAAAAGGGTGTTTGCAGGAGGCTCTCGCAGCACGGCTGGGTGAAGAACAACACCCTCCCACCCTCCCTTTTTACTTCCATTCACAATTCAGGTCAATTTATTATCGTGCTTATAAAATGTATTTTCCTTTTCAGGTCATGATCTAACAGAGGTTTTCTCCCAAAGCGTCATTCCGTTTAACCACTTTATTTTACTTCTGCCTGCTGACCTTACTATGGTTGCTTACGGGTGCCATATTCGGAGCTGGGAAGGAATTTGCCTATAGACAAATTGGCTGGCCTGGAGGTTTTGCCTTCCTAATAGCAAAACGTCAAAAACTTTTGATGGTTAAGCCATTGGGTGGGATCCCAGTCTTCAAGTGTTGGGTGAAGTAGCGCCTCACTAAGTACCGAATGAGTGATGTATTCTGGGGTACCCCATTAGCTCTACCTGCACACAAAATTACCTTGAGACCTGCCTGATTGGTCACCCCAGGTTGAGGGTGATGGAACTGTGTAAGGCCTTCATATTTGTGCCATTTTCTGCACCCATTACCCATATGACTTCACCAGGTACTGGTGCCTAAAGCTCTGTACAGCCTGGGACCTAGAAACCTGAAAGATTGTCTAATGTTGTTTTAAAGTGTTTTTAATAGGGTGAAGGATGGGTGATTAATAATTAAAATATCCTGGCTGTAACAAACTGGCAACTGCAGGTTCAGGGAACCTGTAGCTGTTTAGACAAACAGCAATACGTGCACAGCAATCAAAGTTTAATTTATATTTTTGTGTTATTTCATGTATTTAAAAAGGAGATGATTTGTCCCCTTCCTCCGCCCCCAACTGAGAACAGGAATTGAATCCCGATGGGTGCTGCTTGCATAGGAGCACCATGAAACCAGCTGGATCAAATTCTCCCCCAAACCAGCTGTTAAGCAGTAGTTTCTAAAGGGAACATGGACATGAAATAGACCCTGACAGTTCTTTCCACCCACCACTCAAACCCTGAAATTCCAGATCACACTGCGTATCTCACCCCATAATGGGACGATCTGTGCCTGTCTTTCCTGAACTTGGCCCAAGCAAAGTCTAAAGTGTGCAATATAAAGAATGACTTCCTTCTCCTTCTTCTTCAAAGCATATATGGTTGGGTTTTGCAAGGGGGTGACACAGATACATATGACAGAAATCACTTTATCGATCATGAACTGGGCTGATGGAGGCAGGTAAATAAACAAACAGGGCCCAAATACATGGTGACCACAATGAGGTGAGAGGTGCATGTGGAGGCAGCCTTGGTGGTTTCTTCAGTGGGACCCTGGGAGCAGATTGTTTAGGAGAATGAATCCATATGAGATGAGCAGGCCAATAAAAGAAACTAGTGACAAAATTCCAGTGTTGGTGACCATCATGACGTCCAAGGGATTTGTGCCCATGCAAGCCAACTTGGATGACCATGGAGAGGTCCCAGAAGAAGCTGTCCACTTGCTTTTGCCCAACAGAAAGGCACATTAATGATGAAACCCAATTGCACAGTGTCATGGAGGAGCCCACCAGCCTAGGAGGCAAGGAGAAGTGCCATGCAATGAGGCCAGCTCATTAAGGCATAATGGGAGGAGATTGGGAAATGGCCCACATGCGGTCATTGCCATGGCTTACCCAGCAGGAGATCTCACTTCCTACAAACACATGGAGAAAGAATATTTGTGCCATGCCAGCTCCGGAAGGAAGATGATCTGATAGTTGGGCATAGGGAAATCCAAGAGAGATCTTGGGATGGCAAAGGAGGATAAGGCAGAGGTCCAGGAAAGCCACCGTGACCTAGCAAAAGAACATGGGTGGAATCTGAAGAACAGTTGATTCTGGAAATGGCTTGAAGAAAATGAGAGTGTTGCGGATAGAAGACTCCAAAATTAGCCAGTGTGTGGTCAGATCTTGGAATTTGGCTGAGTGGACCTGGATTTCACACCAGCCATGTGGTATGTGTGCAATGGCCAATCTTGGCTGCTCTGGGGGATTATAGTTGTGTCCCCTTCCTCTCAGCCTCCTTCCCCAATGGCCTGGGCACACACGTTTGCCCACACCCCCATGGGCAAATGCCTCTGTAACTCTGGAGAGGACCCCACAGTTCATCCAGATGCAGCTGAGGGTGGATAAGATTCCCAAAGTTGCTGAGCCTGACTTTCCAGCTTTTTGGTGAATTTTAATTCTGCGTCCAAATGCATTCAGTGATGCTGATGTCTCTGGCGTCTTCTGCATAGTTCTCGCAAGGTTTGTTGCTTCTCCTCTCAGTTTTACAAAGACACCATATGCAGATGGGCTGAAATAGGGATCATCTCCCTTTCTTCATCTTTTAAACCTTTGATTTGATGAATGGAGAGGAATCTGTCTGTTTTATATTATTTATGGATGTTGTTAACACATTGATGACTGAAGCAGGGCATTGTGTCTACTTCACTTAAAACCAAACAAAAGTTTTTTATGTCATTGCAAAATTTGCGCAGGTCTTGTACAATGGATAAAACTGGATGGGGGAACATACCATGCCCCAAACAGCAGATTTCCTGGACATTATCTGGCTTTGTCAGAATTGCAACTTGGGTTAGATGCACATTTCTTCTCTGCAGCTTCGTCGTTCTTTCCATGCTGCCACATGCCCCATCACACAGCAAAACTGTGTTGATTCTTCTCAGACTTTATTATGAACACTATTTCCATTTCACTTGTGGAATCAGTGCTATCTACTATTACTTTTCTCCTGCGGAACTGGATTCTATCTGCAGTTTCCCATACATTCTCTTTTTTCTTTAAATATGTCAGTCTGTGCTAAAGAGGTATTGTACTGGCTCCTACTTGTAAGGTTTTTTTAGCTGTAACCATTTCCCCCACTTCCCCAGCAAATATTTGACCATTGCCTCCTCACTAGTTTTCCATTGGCACCTAAAATCTTATTGCTTTTATCCAGTAAGCAATTATTCCCTCTCCCTCAGAAATTATTTTAGATAACCCTCCTAACTAAGCAGAAATCATGCATAATGATAAACTGTTGGTGAGAGAGAAGCCCACTCTCCCATCAGCAGCCTTTTAGGGACATTCTGTAAGTGAACTAATGTGTGTGTAAGACAGGGAAAGTTACATATTTTTTCAGGTATTGCAACCTTCCCCTTTATTCAGGTTCTTGTCTGTCTGTCTGTTTGTTTCCTTATATTACAATTATGTACCATCTTTCTTTTCAAGGATCTCAAGGTGGTTTACATGTGATTCTTGCTCCCAATTTCATCTTCACCCTGAACTGATGCTGAGGAACCTCTTCTCCTACACAGCTATAGAGTATTGTACATAGGTGTCCTACCTGCGGAATCTTATAGATATCCAAAAAGTGCCACATAAAAGGAGATTTCAGAATCCAGTCCCCAATGACCCCAGTCAGATATTTTCAACATCACATATATAGTTTGGGACAAATCTCTTCACCATGGATAAAAGCAGCAGTGTGGCAAGATATGTGCTCCTTGCAGCGATATAGCTGTCATATAAGTGGAAGCCAAGGTGATATTGGGTAGATGTGAGGGTCTTCGTTGATCTCCTTGACTGCAAATGCCAAGGCCACGATGTGCTGGTAACCCTTAGGCACCACCCTAGAATGAGAGTTGCAAACTGTATCAGCAGAAACTTCAAGAGATGTTTCCCTTTACAGACTAGTTAATCACACTGAGTTCAGGGGCGTTTACACTCTGCCCGTTCTACTATTTATTAGATCTTATCAGTGAAAGTTCTTCCTGATGTTTAGTTGGAATTTCCTTTTTGTAACTTGAATAACCTGATTTGGAGCAAGAGAAAACAAGTGTGTTCCATCTTCCTGGTACAGTGCTTGAGATAATTTGAAAATGGCTATCATTTCTCCCTCAGTCTCATCATAGCTAAAACCATCAAACTCCCTCAACCATTCCTCATAAGGCTTGGTTTACAGACCATCTTTTGTTGCCCTCCCTCTGCAATGTTTCAGCTTGCTAATACGTATCCTTCTTAAATATGTGGGTGGTCAGAACTGGATACAGGACTCCAGGTGACCAAGGCAGAATTAAGACAGTACTGAGTACTTCCTTTTGATCAGGACACTATACTGTCTCTCTTGATGCAGATCCTTGAACCTTTCCACATTTACTACTGGCAAGCCAAGTGGTTCCTCATCTTCGATTGTGCATTTGTCTCTACTGAAATTCATGTGTTACTTTTGTCCCAGTTTTCCAATATTTTAAGGTGTATCTAGAGTTGGGGTTGCTAATTGTGGGGCTCATGGGATGTCTTCCCTTACATGTCTGAGGTTTTTTTCTGACACTTACAAAGTCTCTGGTCTCTCTGGTCTCTCTCTGCAGTGACTTCATTTTCATGAGTCAGTGATCGTCGTTCGAATCCACTAAATTCTATACTTCATAATAAGTACCTTTCAGTGCTGAAACAAAATGTTAGTCTAAGTTCAGAAAATGAAAGCATAAGAACCTTCAGTCTCAGAACAGGTTTTTAAGAATTCGTTCTACTACACACTTATAGTAGTTTCAGATAAAGTCTATCAAAATTTGCGTTCAAAAGGCCTCCCCCAGACACACAAACTGCATAATTTCAATACATTTATATTTTTTCTCCATCCAGAAAATGAGAATTTCGCCTGTATTTCTCTTAATTCACAAGAGATTCCTTCCAGTTTTTTGCCCCAGCATAAGTCCCATTCATATCTAAAGTGGATTTCCCTAGGTAAAAGTGTAAAGGTTTGCAGTCTCTGTCTTATCTGAGGCTAGCAATCTAGGTTTTGATCATTACATGGACTGTAATAACTGAAGTGGTACAAAAGTGGCTTTTCACAGGTTGGCTGGGCTGCGTGGTGGGGGTTCCTCAGTGAATGTTGCTGGAGAGGAGAAGAATCCACCATGGGAAACAATCCCACCAATGAGGAACTCTCCTGGCTGATGATACGTGTGAAGTGGATGGTGTGGACCTTGGAGGATGCATTTCGCTATGTGTGCTAGACATACATTGTAAGAAATCACTTCCAGCAGCAAGAACACTAAAACCACCATTCTCAATACAAAGGCAACTGTTTGTTCTGCATGGAACCATGATTTCTCTGGCAATATATAATTAGTTTCTCCCCCAAAAAAATTTCTCATTTGAACGGTAGTTAAGTTTCTTGAGACCATGCAATCTGGGGTATGAATGATCAGACTTGTTGATCCCAGACCCTATTTAAATTATTTCTGGTTAATTTTAGTATCCTTTCCGTTACTTTTGCAAATGGCCCTGAAAGTCCAGAGGGAATTTTGAGGAGCAGCAGATTAATTATAGCCCTGTTAATAACCAAGCTGGAATTTAGTTATTTATTCAATGCTTGCGAACCCCTGTGGAATTGCAGAAAGAATATGTGTTTGTCACATATTCGGAACTATTGTGTTTATTCCCTTTCAGTGGATTATAAGGGGCCAGTGGTGTATTGGTGAAGTTAGAAGTTCATAATAGAAGACCTTGTAAACAATGGAGACTCCTAAATGTAGTACGGTGTTGTCAGCATCTTGAAATTTGACTGAGTGGACCTGGATCACATGAACCATGTGGCAATGACCCCTCACCACTTTTCCAGGGGGCGACAGTTGTGTTCGCCTCTACTGATGAAATCCTGGTGGGTTTCTAAAGTGAATTTCAAAGGCTATAGCACCATTGAATACTCCTGAATCCCAATTCCTTTGAAAGACAAATGATGCGAACTCAACCTGGGCCGTTATTATCCATACTTTACTTTTTACATTATTAATCAAGTCATCACGTTTTGATAGGTATGGAAGCCATCTAAAATTTGCCATGGAATAAGACTCTCCAGAGGTCACCACTACGTTAGCTTTGCTGCTAAATATTTTGTCTTGTATATTGGCCGCCCGTTCTAGCAAGCCATACATTTCAGAAATAAAACTGAAATCGGGGATTCTTTCTATGAATGCAAAGCAGACACCACTGTTGGTAAACATGGGGGAAATAGTTTGCACAAATCTTTCTCCATTCTCATTGTCTGTTGCAATGACTCCAATCCATGTCCACCTGAAATGCAGAAGCAAAGAGAGAATTCCCTCATACTGAAGGGCTTCTGAGGCTGCCATCTGGTAGAAGGGAAGCCCTGGGCTTTTATCATTCATCACTGGAGCAGAGCCATAAATGAGCTAAAAAGTAAATGGAGGAAGAGAAGAGACAAAGTAGAGTTCTTTCACAGTATTCATAATCATTATGTGGAGAACCCTGTTAGTCAATTATGGCCTTTGCCAACGTTTCAGGGTTTGTGTGGCTCTCTCTCACATATACAAAAGACAAACATGCAGATGGGCTGAAAACTCGGATTATCTCCCATTTGTGGTTTTCAAACCTTTGATTTGATGACTGGAGAGGGGCACTGTGTCTGTTTTGTTTTATTTTATTTATAAACCTTGTTAACACTTTGATGACTAAAGCAGGGCATTGTCATTGTGTCTATTTTACTGTTTAGGGAAGCTTTTAATGTTTGACGGACGATTGTATTTTAATATTTTGTTGGAAGCTGCCTAGAGTGGTTGGAGAAAACCCAGCCAGATGGGTGGGGTATAAATAAATTATTTTTATTATTATTTTAAAAAAAACAAAGATTTTTTTTATGTCATTGTAAAATTTGGCAGGGTCTTGTACAATAGATAAAACTGAATGGGGGAACATACCATGCCCCAAACAGCAGATTTCCTAGACATTATCTGGCTTTGTCAGAATTGCAACTTGGGTTAGATGCACATTTCTTCTCTGGAGCTTCGTCTTTCTTCTTCATGATGCACATGCCCCATCACTCAGCAAAACTGTCCTGATTCTTCTCAGACTTTATTTATGAACATTTATTTCACTAGTGAATCAGCTGCTAACTACTCTTACATACCATTCCCCAAACAGCAGATCACCTAGACATTATCTGGCTATGTAAAAATTGCAAGCAATTTCCCGTTTCCAACAGCAGCTCAATTTGGATACCTTCCTCACTAAGCAGAAATTGCTACATAACTAAAAACCGCTGGTGAGGTACAAGCCCACTCTCCCATCAGAGGCTTTGGGATATCAGTGGTGTAGATGTGTGTGTCAGACAGGGGGAGTGACATATATTTTTTCTGGTATTACAACCTTTCCCCTTATTCAGGTTCCTTCCTTCCTTCCTTCCTTCCTTCCTTCCTTCCTTCCTTCCTTCCTTCCTTCCTTCCTTCCTTTCTTTCTTTCTTTCTTTCTTTCTTTCTTTCTTTCTTTCTTTCTTTCTTTCTTTCATCTATTATAATTATGTACCGCCTTTATGTTCCAAGGATCTCAAGGTGGTGTACATGGTTCTTCTTCCAATTTCATCTTTCTGGTATTGCAACCTTTCCCCTTATTCAGGTTCCTTCCTTCCTTCCTTCCTTCCTTCCTTCCTTCCTTCCTTCCTTCCTATTATAATTATGTACCGCCTTTATTTTCCAAGGATCTCAAGGTGGTTTTAATGATTCTCCTTCCAATTTCAGCTTCACCCTGAACTGCTGATACACCCTGAACTGATGCCAAGGAACCTGCCTCTTTCTCTATGCAAGCTAATAGAGGTATTGTACATAGGTGTCCTACCTGCGGAATCTTAAAGATATCCAAAACAGTAGCCACATAAAAGGAGATTTCAGAATCCAGTCCCCCAATGACCCCTGCCAGATAACTTTCAACATCACATATATAATTAGGGACAAATTCTTCACCATGGATAAAAGGAGCAGCATGGCAAGGTATGTGCTCCTTGCATTGGAATAGCTGTCAAATAAGCGAAAGCCCAAGGTGATGTTGGGTAGGATGTGAGGGTCTTTGTTGATCTCCTTGACTGCAAATGCCAAGGCCACGATGTGCTGGTAACCCTTAGGCACCACCCTAGAATGAGAGTTGCAAACTGTTTCAGTAGGAAACATCAACAGTTATTTCCTTTTCAATATCAACACAGTAGTTAATCATACTGAGTTCAGTGGGGTTAACTCTCAGTCTTCTCTACTGTTGAACAGCTCTTATGAATAGGAATTTATTTTTGATGTTTAGTTCAAATCTCCTATCTTGTAACTTGAATACCCTGATCTGGAGCAAGAGAAAACAAGCGTGTTCGATCTACCTGGTGACAGCCCTTGAGATATTTGAAAATGGGGGACTTCCGGGTTAGCGCCATCGGCCAATGGCGGATTCCCTCCGAGCTCCAGAGGGAATCGGCTCCGCAGGATCAGGGTCCTACTGCTGCGGCGACGTGGGGACCCTTAAAAATCACAGGCGGTGAAGCCTGTGAACCTGGTGACTCGGCGGGCACCATTTGCGCCCCCGACTTGCGAAGGAGCCTTTTTAAAGGCTTCGGGACGGGGGACGGGGTGAGCGGCGTGGTGCTGAGAGTCGACTGCTTCTCCTGCGGAGTGAAGCCGCGCTGCCATGGCCGGAGAGCGCTGACTTCTTGTGAATTGGACTCCAAAACAACAACCCGTGAGTAGTACAGAAATTGGATTTGCAAAGAAAATCTTTTCGGAATTAGGCACGATTGGGGAAGGCGCAAACAGGAAGTCCATCTCCCCGTCCTGTAAACAACCTTAAGCAAGGACCTGCTAACTAAGGTCGAGAGAATCTTTTCTTTTTTATTGGGCAAAAGACATTAATTTCACGATTTGGCACTACAAGAAATTTAACTGGAGGATAAGAGCTAATTTTGGGAGTGGAGGTGCCACCCCCCCCGGACCCGGGAGTGATCCGTGAGAGAGCCTGTTGAAAAGGTATTGAAGAGTTTGACAGCTGTCAAACTAGCTGTCAAGACGGAAAAAGAGAACTTTGTTTCTGCTGCTTCTGCTGGCTATAGTTGTTACAATTTGACTATACTTTGTTGAAAATAAGGAAGAACTGATACAAACTAACTTGATTTTTGGATTTGAACTGGAAGGAATACTAAGTAACCAAAATCCCTCTAGAGGGGGTTTTGGGACATTACAAGAATGGCTGAAGGAGGGAAAATTCAAGCTAAGTTGGACAGAGTCTTTGTTCTCTTGGGAAAGCTACAAGGCCAAATTGATGTTTTGGCTACAAATGTTGCAACTCTGGATTTAACAGTAAACAAATTCATTGAATTTGATAAGGATTTGACTCAGGAAGCTCATGCAGCTGGACAAGAAGAGAAACTTGAGAGCTTTGAGAGTGTGGAGAAAGAGATACATGTTCCTGAGGAAAAGGAAGGAGGAGCTGTAATGTTGCAGAAGACAAAGGAGGGCCAGAGGCCTGACATGATGGCTACAAAGGAAAATAAGAACTTGATGGTGAAAATCTGGTTTGAATTGGAGACTGAAGAATGGAGACATCTCCTTATGTGGAGATCTGAAGACCCAAGGATTACAAATTTGATTAAGGTGGAAGTTGGAGCTTTGGAGACATTTGGACTTGAAAGGAGTAAGAAACAAGATTCAGGCTCCACTTTTAAATATGGAGGTCTGGTTGGAAGAAACATGGACCTTATTGGGTTAGAGCTTTTTCTGAGATTTGGTGTTTAATACCAAGGACTACCAAAAAAACCGGCAGAGAGGAATTGAGAGAGAATTAAGAGCCTCGGATGTGAGATCTCCAGGCTGATAGTAGATTGACTGATGGACGTTTGTTGGGGATTGAACCAGAAAAGGGGGTGGGGGTGGAGTTTGGGAATCCAAAGGGTGTATAATTATAACCTGTTTTGTTTTTATTTTGTTTTGTTATTTGTATGAAAATTGGGGAAATCGTGGAAGGGAATTTAGGCCGACTTTAGAAAAAGGTTTTAAGAATATGCAATGATGTATAAACACGACGTTTATAAGGCAAAATTGGCTTCTTTTAAAAAATGAACTAAATATAAAAAGGTTTAAAATTAGGGACAAGAACTTGTTGAACTAACAATCTGAAATGGAATACAAGAGGGGGAGGTGTGGGGAAGTCAGGGAAATATGTTATAGAAAATAAGGATTGTGAATTCTATGTGTTTTAAAACTTTTTTGTTTTTCCTTTTTTGATTTTTTAATGTATTATAGTGGAAAATCTTAATAAATATCTTCTTTTTTAAAAAAAAAAGAGATATTTGAAAATGGCTATCATATTTCCCTTCAGTCTCATCATAACTAACATACCAAACTCCCTCAACCGCTCCTCATAAGGCTTGGTTTCCAGATCATCTTTGTTGCCCCTCCCTGTACATGTTCCAACTTGCCAATATCCTTCTGAAATTGTAGTGATCAGAACTGCTAATGTGGAGTAATTGGAGTTTTTCCCTTACACACCTGAAGTCTTTTTCTGACTCTTACAACATCTCTGGTCTCTCCCTGTAATGTCCTCATTTTCATGAGGCAATGATGGTCCTTGGAATTCACTGCATTCTATACTTCTTAATAAGTACCTTTCAGTGATGAAACAAACAGTAGTGTAAGATCAAAAAATGAAACCATAAGAACCTTCAGTTTCAGAACAGGTTTTTAAAAATTCATTCTTAGTAATACTCTAGTTCAGATAAAGTATATCAATATTGGCTATTCAAAGGGGCTCTCCCAGACACACAAATATACATCCTTTTCAATACATTTCTATTCATTTCCCTATCCAGAAATTGGAATTTACCCCGTATTGTCTTAATTCACAAGAGATTCCTGAATTTTTTTGCCCCACCATAAGTCCCATTCAAATCTAAAGTGGTTTTCCCCAGGTAAATTAGAAGAAGTTTGCAACTCTATGTTTGATCATTCCTCTGCTGTAATAAATGAGTGGCTTAGTACTTACACAAGCTCTTCAGGCAGCACTGGTGGGGGTTCCTCAGAGAATGTTGCTGGAGAGGCGATGAAGCCACCATGGGAAACAATGCCACCAATGAGGAACTCTCCTGGCTGATGATAGGTGTGAAGTGGACTGTGTGGACCTTGGAGTCTGCATTTCTCTAAGTGAGCCTGACATACTTTGTAAGAAAACAGTTCCAGCAGCAAGACCACTAAAATCACCATTCTCAATTCAAAGGCAACTGTTTGATCTACACAGAAACCACTATTTCTCTGGCAATAGTATAATTAACGTCTCCAAGATAAAAGCTGTCTCATTTGAATGGTACTTTATTTACCTGAAGCGATACAATCTGGGAGTATCCAAGATCAGACTTGAGGCTCCCAGACCCTATTTAAATTATTCTGGTAATTTTAGTATCCCTTGCTTTGCTTTTGCCAGCGGCCACTGAAAGTCCACAGGGGTTTTTGAGAAGCCACAGCTTTAATTATAGCCCTGTTAATAACCAAGCTGGAATGTAGTTATTTATTCAATGCTTGCAAACCCCTGTGGTATTGCAGAAGAAAATGTGTTTATCACATATATGGAAATATTGTGTTAAATTCCCTTTCAGTGGATCATAAGGGGACAGTGGTGTATTGGTGAAGTTAGAAATTCATAGTAGAAGACCTTGTAAACAATGGAGACTCCAAAATGTAGTACGGTGTTGTCAGCATCTTGAAATTTAACTGAGTGGACCTGGATTCACATCAACCACGTGGCATGAGAACAATGGCTGCTCACCACTTTTCCAGGGGGCGAGAGTTGTGTTCCCTCACTCTCAGCCTCCTTCCCTGATAGCCTAGGCACACAAATTTGCTGGCCTTTGAAGGGAAATTCTCCTTGGCCGGTGGATCTCAAAAGGGAAGGGTCTTTCCAACCCAAAGGCACTATAAATGAGCCGCTCATTGGTGTCTCCTGGAGGGCACTGCCTTCCTGGCTGTAGGCATTGGCTGCTGTCTCATCTGGCCTGGCAGTGAGGCTTAAAAGGGCAGTTGCAGGAGGCTCTCGCAGCACGGCTGGGTGAAGAGCAACACCCTCCCACCCTCCCTTTTTATTTCCAATTACAATTCACAATTCCAATCACAATTCATAACACACACATCTATACTAAAAATGCAATCCGTGCATAGCAATCAAAGTTTAATTTATATTTTGTGTGTTATTTCATATATTAAGAAAGGAGATGATTTGTCCCCTTCCTCCGCCCCCAGATGAGAACAGGAATTGAATCCCGATGGGTGCTGTTTGCATAGGAGCACCCTGAAACTAGCTGGCTCATACCATACCAGCTGCTAAGCAGAAGTTTCTCCTTTCTGCAGGGGGGGCATAATCTTACAGACACTCATTAACAAACCTAGTTAGCTTGCTGTATAACAGTGCAGATGTCTATGCAGAAATAAGTGTTTTAAGATTTAATGGGCCTTGCTCCCAGAAAAGTGAGCACAAGCTGGCAATGTAGACTCTGGTTTATGGTTGAAACTAAGAGAAAGCTGTGGCTTTGTGCCCTTAAGAGCTGTATAACAGGAGGTATAATTCAGAGGTTAAGCCTGGATTCGGGAAAGCTGAGGTCCATTCTGGGAATACAGATGCAATCTGAAGATTCTCTTTCCTCTTTGATTCCACTTTCAATCTGATTAAGCTCTGGTTTACTTGTATTCTCCATTCATCATGGTTAGGTCTAATCAATTTTATCTGCTAATCAAACGTTGGCTGAAGTCAGTGGAAAGTCCAACAATATACCTGCCAGAATTATAATTCGTATTTGTATTAAGAATATAGTGTTCTGATCCATCACTTGTATTGGTGAAAATAAGACTTTTCAGTTGTGGCTTTGTTGAATGCTTTTCCCAGTGAACTGTGCATGGTTCTTTGTTACCATCTTTTCCAAGCACCAGGGCAGAAATCATTCACACTCTCTTATCTAGTTCTCTGAATTTCACCAAGGAGACTTGATTCAGACAAAATCTTGGGGGGAGGGAACCGAATCCAATGGAGGGTAATTTATTTCACAGTCCATAGATAATATATAGAACTCACTGCCAAAGGAAACAATGTTGAAGACAGTGCATTTCTTTTTGGATATGGCTTGAAGGTTTAATCTCACTGCAAACAAGTGGTACAGTGACAATAAAGTATTTCTATTTCCCACAGCAATCTGGTTGGTCAGTGTGAGTACAGGCTGCCGTACAAGATGGGCCATTGGCCTGACTCAAGAGGATCATCTTACATTTCTACGATCCTGAGTATGGATAAGTTGATGATGAAATATGACTGTGAGCAGTACAGAACAAGAGACCATAAATGAATACTCAAATATTCCATGGCCTACAATAGTACAGTTTCACATTATGCTGAAAGCTGTGAGAATTAAGGCTAGATACAGATTTGTTTACTTGCATATTTTGACAAGAATTGCTCTGAGTCTTCTTGTCAACACATACTACATGTATGTGGAAATGTATTCCTCAAAGCAAATGAGTGAATTTTACAAAGGAAATTTCAACTATGGGAATTTGGAGTCTAGGAAAAATTGTAAAAGGGAGCAGCTGAACTTATATTTCCAAATATTCTACTGTAAACACAAAGAAAGGCACAAAATACAGCAGATGACAAGTTTCTCATTTCTTTAATTTTTCTTCCTTATTAGCTGTTCCCTATTGTTCAGCTCAGGCCTCAGAATGATTATGTAACATTTGGGGAAGAAGATGCAACCCAGCAACCCACCACCGGAGGCTAAGATGGAGAAGATCTCCACAGCTACCATGTATTTTCCCTTGGTGCTCAGGTAGGAGGGAATAAAGGACAGCCAAACACTGCAGAAGACCAACATGCTGAAAGTGATAAACTTGGCTTCGTTGAAACTGTCCGGTAACTTCCTGGCAAGGAAAGCCACAACAAAACTTACAGTTGCCAGGCAGCTCATGAAGATGAGGACACAGTAAAACATTGTTACAGACCCTTCATTACATTCTAGTATAATTTCTTCTGTCATTGAGTGCATGTCCACATCTGGGTATGGGGGAGAGGTTGCCAGCCACACAGTGCATATGCCTGCTTGAACAATGGAGCAGGAAAGGAGAATGGAGTGGCCTAGCCCTTTGCCCACCCATTTCCTCATCCTGGATTCTGGTTTTGTAGCCATGAAGGCCAAAACCACCGTGAAGGTTTTTGCCAGGACACAAGAAACAGCGGTTGAGAAGATGATGCCAAAAGCTGTTTGTCGGAGGAGGCACGTCACCTTCTCAGGTCGGCCGATGAAGAGCAATGCACAAAGGAAGCAGAGCAGGAGAGAGATGAGCAGAGCGTAGGTGAGGTTTCGGTTGTTTGCAATGACAATGGGTGTGTCATGGTGTTTCATAAATGTACCTAGTACCAGAGCTGTGATCAAGGAAAGGAAAAGAGAAAATGAGGCTAAACTGATGCCCAAAGGTTCTTCATAAGACAAGAAGCTTATATCTTTGGGTAGACATGCATCACGGTTTCTGCTTGGATAGTATTTGTCTGGACATTTATGACAGTCATTCATATCTGGGGGGAAACAAATATATTAGGCCTTACATTTCAATTTGGTGAAATGTTTACTTTCTGTCTGAGAAGAAAAGAGCTCTGTTTAAATCAAAGGACATGTTTAGTACTGTTTTATGCTATGCAATGTAGTATTGTTGTAATCTAAGCTTTGTCTATGTCATGGATATGCCACTAAACCACATGAGACCGTGCGGGGAAAAGTACAGTTACATACGCTTCAGGTTACATACAGTTCAGGTTACAGACTACGCTAATCCAGAAATAATACCTCGCATTAAGAACTTTGCTTCAGGATGAGAACAGAAATCATGAGGCGGCGCAGTGGCAGTGGGAGGACCCATTAGCTACAGTGGTGCTTCAGGTTAAGAACAGTTTCAGATTTAGAACGTATCTCCGGAATGAATTAAGTATGTAACCAGAGGTACCACTGTAGTCCAAAGTGTTTAATTCTGCACAGAAGGTTCAACGGGACTCTGGGGACACCGAGGAGAGATGCAGGTGGTTTACCCTTACTGACTTCCTGCAAAGGGGACAAGAGTCTCATATAGTCCTTTGCCAATGCCAAAGACAATACCACTCACATTTCTGTAATCAATAAAGTTGTGGCCCAAAATTTTGCCCAATAACCTTAAACTAAGATTCTGTTTCAGTGTGAATCTTATTCTAACAAGGGGCTGGTTTGGGGGCCTTGCCACAGAAGAAGGAGAAGGAGAAGGAGAAGAAGAAGGAGAAGGAGAAGGAGAAGGAGAAGAAGAAGAAGAAGAAGAAGAAGAAGAAGAAGAAGAAGAAGAAGTGCTTTGAACCACATACCATCCAACTACTCTGAATGCATGGTCATTCTCATTTGATTAGCATATTTAAACTATCTGAAAGGCAATGATCAGAAAGAGGCAGGATCACACACACAGTAGATTATCTCTTTTGAAAAGTAAACTCAGCCGTCCTTACAACACCTTTCAATTACTAGTGCTGAGTTTGGATCTATTTAATCTATTTATTTCTCCTACCATCCTGGTTTGCAATCTTCCCCTCTGCACATGGGATGCAATCATAGCAGCAAGGTGGCTGTCCCTCCTTCACTTTCTTGCTGGATCCTGGGAGGCATCTCTCAGTACAGAGAGAAAGAGGCCGAGTCTATTCCGTAAATGAAAGAGCAGAAGGATCAGCAAGAGAACAATGAATTTGTTAATCTTCATGTTCCTGGGCCCCTCTCTATGTTACTAAGCTGAGTCAGCATTTCAGCAATATGTAAAATGGTGTGTGTTTTTTAGTACAGGGGTACCTTGGGTTACATATGCTTCAGGTTACATACGCTTCTGGTTAAAGACTCCGCTAACCCAGAAATAGTGCTTCAGGTTAAGTACTTTGCTTCAGGATGAGAACAGAAATCGTGCTCCAGCGGCGCGTCAGCAGCCGGAGGCCCCATTAACTAAAGTGCTGCTTCAGGTTAAGAACAGTTTCAGGTTAAGAACGGACCTCCAGAACGAATTAAGTACTTAACCCGAGGTACCACTGTAGTAGTAATGTTTGAAATGATGTCATACTCCCTCTATTGTTCTGGGATGTGTAGGTGTTGTGATTACATAGCAGTTCCCCACTTTTTAGCAAGAAAGGCAAAATCCTGGGGCTTATCCTCTTTTCCTCAGTTAAAAACCAGTATTTGATAATTGTTAAGAAATATTTATAAATATTTATAAATATAATAAAATAAAACATTTGCCTTTATTCCTTGAGTGACTTCTAGCAGTAACCTTTTGGCTCTTAATCTGGTACTTGGATTAAGAAGAAGTGTTTGGATTGGATATCCCACTTTATCACTACCCTAAGGAGTCTCAAAGCAGCTTACATTCTCCTTTCCCTTCCTAGCCCACAACAAACACTCTGTGAGGTGAGTGAGGCTGAGAGACTTCAGAGAAGTGTGACTAGCCCAAGGTCACCCAGCAGATGCATGTGGAGGAGCGGGGACACGAACCCAGTTCACCAGATTAACCACTACATCACACTGGCACTCTGTATGCATTGGTCATGTTCTACACAGGAACATGCAGTTTAAAAGACAGAGAGAAGACATGCAGGTGAATGATCATTGCTTAGGCAATACTGAATTTCTTTGGAATTATCTAATAATGTGGTCCTACCTGATTAAACCAACTGTGCCATGTTATGGCATCTTCATCAAGGATGAATGATTGGTCTCCAGAAGTTTGCGGATCTATCCTCCCAACGCTTACTCTCTGCAAACTTTGGTTGGAGAATATTATCCAATTGACAATATCTAAGCTAGATACCACCTCTCCATTCTGGTTGATGAAGACCACATCTCCGGCCGTATTGTTAAATGAGATGCTTCTCAGAAAGTGATGGAGCTAGATTGAAACAGAAAAGGCAATTGTTTGGAAAAAGCTGCAGTCTAATGCAGGGTAGAGCATTATTTTTTTCTTCCTGTAGGAAAAACCTACAGCAATTGGTGGGGGTGAATCAGTCAAGTGTCAGTGGCTTCAGGTCCAAGCATGGAGAGACCACCAATTTACTCTCTTCCACATCCCTCTCTCCCCTCTCCCATTTTTACAGCTTTCTTTATCTCCCCCGCCCCACACCTCTTTCCCTTTTTCCCTCTTTCCCTCTTCATCACAGGAGACACCACAGTGGTGTATGATCACGTGATCTGAGGGAGGATTTGGTGTATATGGGATACAGAGAATGCTGAACATCTCTCTTGACCTTTACCACTGCTTCTTATCTGTGAATGCAGTGGCATCTCAGTGGTCTGAAAATTTCTCTCATAGAAGCGCTTTTTCATCTCTGAGATGAATGAGCAAGGTGACAACACTGTGGAAACCCATACCTTGTGGGGGAATAACAGGCCTCTTCCAGTTGAGGATGTTTAGCCGATTACCTGCCAAAGCTGTGGATTCGGATTCTTCCCTCTCCGTCCATATGCCATTCCTCTGTGCCTGAGTCTGGATGTGAACATAGCATGTAGAGCATGGGCCATGGCATAGACAGCATTGTGGATACTGTAACTGTGGCCTGTCATGCTCATTTCAAAAAATGATCCAGGAAGGTTCTCCAGCTTCTCTTCTCCGGTGCAAATATTCCCCTCCACCTTGTCTGAAGTCATATCTGGGAATACACATCCAAAGGCCTGTTGCCAGAAGTCCCTGATAAAACCGTCCCCATCTGGGCTGGAAGGGTTTCTGTGCACAACATACTGATGAAATCCTGGTGGGTTTCTGAAGTGAATCTCAAAGGCTATAACACCATTGAATATTCCTGCATCCCAGTTCCTTTGAATGACAAATGAAGTGAACTCAACCTGGGAAGTTGTTATCCATACTTTACTCTTTATATTGTATGACATGTCATCATGTTCTGATAGGTATGGAAGCCATCTAAAAGTTGCCATGGAATAAGATTCTCCATGGGCAACTATTACATTAGCTGTGCTGCTAAAAATTTTATAGTTTATACTTGTCCCCTGTTGTAGCATGCCATCAATTTCAGAAATAAAACTTAAACTGGGGACTTTTTCCAGGAATGCAAAGCAGACACCACTCTTGGTAAATATTGGAGAGATGGTTTGCAGAAATCTTTCTCCGTTGTCATTGTCCATTGCAATGAGTCCAATCCACGTCCACCTGAAATGCAGAAGCAAAGAGAGAATTCCCTCATATTGAAGGGCTTCTGAGGCTGCCATCTGGTAGAAGGGAAGCCCTGGGCTTTTATCATTCATCACCGGAGCAGAGCCATAAATGAGCTAAAAAGTAAATGGAAGAAGAGAAGAGACAAAGTAGATTCCTTTCACAATATTCATATATATTATTAGGCGAACCCTGTTAGTTAGTTTCAAGGTTTGTTTGCCTCTCTCTCAGTTTTACAAAAGACACACATGCAGATGGGCTGAAAACTGGGATCATCTCCCTTTTCTCATTTTTAAACCTTTGATTTGATGAATGGAGAGGGAAATGTGTCTGTTTTATATTATTTTTATGGATCTTGTTAACACATTGATGACTGAAGCAGGGCATTGTGTCTACTTCACTTAAAAACAAACAAAAGTTTTTTTATGTCATTGCAAAATTTGCAGGGTCTTGTACAATGGATAAAACTGGATGGGGGAACATACCATGCCCCAAACAGCAGATTTCCGGGACATTTTCTGGCTTTGTCAGAATTGCAACTTGGGTTAGATGCACATTTCTTCTCTGGAGCTTCGTCGTTCTTCTTCATGCTGCACATACCCCATCACACAGCAAGACTGTGTTGATTCTTCTCAGACTTTATTTATGAACATTTATTTCACTTGTGAATCAGCTGCTATTTACTATTACTTTTCTCCTGCGGAACTGGATTCTATCTGCAGTTTCCCATAACTTCTATTTTTTCTTTAAATATGTCAGGTGTGCTAAAGAGGAATAGTTATTGTACTGGCTCCTACTTGTAAGGTTTTTTTTAGCTGTAACCATTTCCCCCACTTCCCCAGCAACATATTTGACATGCCCTCCTCACTAGTTTTTCCATTGGCACCTAAAATCTTATTGCTTTTATCCAGTAAGCAATTATCCCTCTCCCTCAGCAACTTATTTCAGATACCCTCCTAACTAAGCAGAAAATCATGCATAATGATAAACTGTTGGTGAGAGAGAAGCCCACTCTCCCATCAGCAGCCTTTGGCATATACTGTAAGTGATCTAAATGTGTGTGTAAGACAGGGAAAGTTACATATTTTTTCAGGTATTGCAACCTTCCCCTTTATTCAGGTTTGTCTGTCTGTCTGTTTGTTTCCTTATATTACAATTATGTACCATCTTTCTTTTCCAAGGATCTCAAGGTGGTTTACATGGTTATGCTCCCAATTTCCTCTTCACCCTGAACTGATGCTGAGGAACCTCTTCCTCTATGCAAGCTAATAGAGGTATTGTACATAGGTGTCCTACCTGCGGAATCTTATAGATATCCAAAACAGTGGCCACATAAAAGGAGATTTCAGAATCCAGTCCCCCAATGACCCCAGTCAGATTATTTTCAACATCACATATATAGTTTGGGACAAATCTCTTCACCATGGATAAAAGCAGCAGTGTGGCAAGATATGTGCTCCTTGCAGCGATATAGCTGTCATATAAGTGGAAGCCCAAGGTGATATTGGGTAAGATGTGAGGGTCTTCGTTGATCTCCTTGACTGCAAATGCCAAGGCCACGATGTGCTGGTAACCCTTAGGCACCACCCTAGAATGAGAGTTGCAAACTGTATCAGCAGAAACTTCAAGAGATGTTTCCCTTTACAGACTAGTTAATCACACTGAGTTCAGGGGCGTTTACACTCTGCCCGTTCTACTATTTATTAGATCTTATCAGTGGAAAGTTCTTCCTGATGTTTAGTTGAAATTTCCTTTCTTGTAACTTGAATACCCTGATTTGGAGCAAGAGAAAACAAGTGTGTTCCATCTTCCTGGTGACAGCCCTTGAGATATTTGAAAATGGCTATCATTCCTCCCCTCAGTCTCATCATAGCTAAACCCATCAAACTCCCTCAACCATTCCTCATAAGGCTTGGTTTACAGACCATCTTTGTTGCCCTCCTCTGCACATGTTTCAGCTTGCTAATACGTATCCTTCTTAAATTGTGGTGGTCAGAACTGGATACAGGACTCCAGGTGACCAAGGCAGAATAGAGCAGTACTATTACTTCCTTTGATCAGGACACTATACTTCTCTTGATGCAGATCCCTTGAACCTTTCCACATTTACTACTGGCAAGCCAAGTGTTCCTCATCTTCGATTTGTGCATTTGTCTCTACTGAAATTCATGTTGTTACTTTTGTCCCAGTTTTCCAATATTTTAAGGTGTATCTAGAGTAGGGGTTGCTAATGTGGGGCTCATGGGATGTCTTCCCTTACATGTCTAAGGTCTTTTTCTGACACTTACAAAGTCTCTGGTCTCTCTGGTCTCTCTCTGCAGTGACTTCATTTTCATGAGTCAGTGATGGTCGCTGGAATTCACTAAATTCTATATTTCATAATAAGTACCTTTCAGTGCTGAAACAAACTTTAGTCTAAGTTCAGAAAATGAAAGCATAAGAACCTTCAGTTTCAGAACAGGTTTTTAAGAATTCATTCTTACTCACACTCTAGTAGTTCAGATAAAGTCTATCAAAATTTGCTGTTCAAAAGGCCTCTCCCAGACACACAAATGTGCATACATTTCAATACATTTATATTCTTTTCTCTATCCAGAAATGGCAATTTCTCCTGTATTCTCTTAATTCACAAGAGATTCCTTCCAGTTTTTTTGCCCCAGCATAAGTCCCATTCATATCTAAAGTGGATTTCCCTAGGTAAAAGTGTAAAAGTTTGCAGTCTCGGTCATTATTCTGAGGCTGCAACTCTAGGTTTGATCATTACATGAATGTAATAAATGAGTGGCTTACACAAGCTCTTCAGGCAGCGCTGGTGGGGGTTCCTCAGTGAATGTTGCTGGAGAGGAGAAGAATCCACCATGGGAAACAATGCCACCAATGAGGAACTCTCCTGGCTGATGATACGTGTGAAGTGGATGGTGTGGACCTTGGAGCCTGCATTTTGCTATGTGAGCCAGACATACATTGTAAGAAATCACTTCCAGCAGCAAGAACACTAAAACCACCATTCTCAATACAAAGGCAACTGTCTGTTCTACATGGAACCCATGATTTCTCTGGCAATATTATAATTAGTTTCTCCAAAATAAAAATTGTCTCATTTGAACGGTAGTTAAGTTTCTTGAGACGATGCAATCTGGGAGTATGAATGATCAGACTTGTGGATCCCAGACCCTATTTAAATTATTCTGGTTAATTTTAGTATCCTTTCCGTTACTTTTGCAAATGGCCCCTGAAAGTCCAGAGGGAGTTTTGAGGAGCAGCAGATTTAATTATAGCCCTGTTAATAACCAAGCTGGAATTTAGTTATTCATTCAATGCTTGCGAACCCCTGTGGAATTGCAGAAGAAAATGTGTTTGTCACATATTCAGAACTATTGTGTTAAATTCCCTTTCAGTGGATAATAAGGGGCCCGTGGTGTATTGGTGAAGTTAGAAGTTCATAATAGAAGACCTTGTAAACAATGGAGACTCCTAAATGTACAGTGGTACCCCCGCAAGACGAACGCCTCGCAAGACGGAAAACCCGCTAGACGAAAGGGTTTTCCGTTTTGGAGGCGCTTCACAAAACGAATTTCCCTATGGGCTTGCTTCGCAAGACGACAGCCCATAGGGAAATCTCCGGGACAGCGGGGAAGCGCAGCGCGTCTTCCCCACTGTCCTCGGACCTCCTCCCGCTGCCGGACATCGGAACGAAGCTCCGATGTCCGGCGGGGGTGGGGAACGTCTCCTCCCTCCAACGGACATTGGAACGAAGCTCCGATGTCCGGCGGGGGGGGGGGAACGTCTCCTCCCTCCAACGGACATCGGAACGAAGCTCCGATGTCCGGCGGGGGGGGAACGTCTCCTCCCTCCAACGGACATCGGAACGAAGCTCCGATGTCCGGCGGGGGGGGGAACGTCTCCTCCCTCCAACGGACATCGGAACGAAGCTCCGATGTCTGGCGGGGGGGGGAACGTCTCCTCCCGCCGCCGGACATCGGAACGAAGCTCCAATGCCGGGCGGAGGGGGGGAACGCCTCCTCCCGCAGCCCGGCATCGGATGGCTGTCCTGAAGACTTGGGGTGGGAGGAGGGTTTTCCTTCCCACCGCCAACATTCAGAATGCTGTTCTGAATGTTGGCGGTGGGGAGGAAAAACCCTCCTCCCACGCAAGCCCCGGGAACAGAGGAGAAGCGCTGCGCGCCTTCCCCTCTGTTCCCGTACCTGTCCTGAAGGCTTGCGGTGCGGAGAAAAGCCTGGCAAGCGGTTTCCCTAGGAACGCATTAATTGATTTTCAATGCATTCCATTGGAAACCGTGCTTCGCAAGACGAAAAACTCGCAAGAAGAAAGAACTTGCGGAACGAATTAATTTCGTCTTGCGAGGCACCACTGTAGTACGGTGTTGTCAGCATCTTGAAATTTGACCGAGTGGACCTGGATCCACATGAACCATGTGGCAATGACCCCTCACCACTTTTCCAGGGGGCGACAGTTGTGTTCCCTCACTCTCAGCCTCCTTCCCCAATGGCCTAGGCACACAAATTTGCTGGCCTTTGGAGGGGAATTCTCCTTGGCTGGTGGATCTCAAAAGGGAGGGGTCTTTCCAACCCAAAAGGCACCATAAATGGGCCACTCACTGGTGCCTCTTGGAGGGCAGTGCATTGCTGGCTGTGGCTATTGGCTGTTGTCTTGTCTGGCCTGGCAGTGAGGCTTAAAAAGGCAGTTGCAGGAGGCTCTCGCAGCATGGCTGGGTGAAGAGCAACATCCTCCCACCCTCCCTTTTTACTTCCATTCACAATTCAGGTCAATTAATTATCATGCTTATAAAATGTATTTTCCTTTTCAGGTCATGATCTAACACAGGTTTTCTCCCAAAGCGTCATTCCGTTTAACCACTTTATTTTACTTCTGCCTGCTGACCTTACTATGGTTGCTTACCGGTGCCATATTCGGAGCTGGGAAGGAATTTGCCTGTAGACAAAGTGGCTGGCCTGGAGGTTTTGCCTTCCTAATAGCAAAACGTCAAAACCTTTGGTGGTTAATCCATTGGGTGTAATCCCAGTCTTCAAGTGTTGGGTGAAGTAGTACCTCACTAAGTACCGAATGAGTGATGTATTCTGGGTATCCCATTAGCTCTACCTGCACACAAAATTACCTTGAGTCCTGCCTGGTTGGTCACCCCAGGTTGAGGGTGATAGAACTGTGTAAAGCCTTCATATGTGTGCCATTTTCTGCACCCATTACCCATATGACTTCACCAGGTACTGGTGCCTAAAGCTCTGTACAGCCTGGGACCTAGAAACCTGAAAGATTGTCTAATGTTGTTTTAAACTGTTTTTAATAGGGTGAAGGATGGGTGATTAATAATTAAATATCCTGGCTGTAACCAACTGGCAACTGCAGGTTCAGGGAACCTGTGGCTGTTTAGACAGAAAACTCTCCCTGGATATGGAGAGGCAATTGTTTTTGAATAAAAGGAATATGTTATTATAGCATAACACACACATCTATACTAAAAATGCAATACGTGCACAGCAATCAAAGTTTAATTTATATTTTTTGTGTTATTTCATGTATTAAAAAAGGAGATGATTTGTCCCCTTCCTCCGCCCCCAACTGAGAACAGGAATTGAATCCCGATGGGTGCTGCTTGCATAGGAGCACCATGAAACCAGCTGGATCAAATTCTCCTCCAAACCAGCTGTTAAGCAGTAGTTTCTGAAGGGAACATGGTCATGAAATAGACCCTGACAGTCTTTCCACCCACCACTCAAACCCTGAAAATTCCGGATCACACTGCGTATCACACCCCATAATGGGACGATCTGTGCCTGTCTTTCCTGAACTTGGCCCAAGCAAAGTCTATTGTTCCAAAGTGTGCAATATAAAAAATGACTTCCTTCTCCTTCTTCTTCAAAGCATATATGGTTGGGTTTTGCAAGGGGGTGACACAGATACAGATGACAGAAATCACTTTATCGATCCAAGAGTATTAAAAGAACTGGCAGATGTGATCTCAGAACCACTGGCAGTCATCTTTGAGAATTCCTGGAGAACAGGCGAAGTCCCGGCAGACTGGAGGTGGGCAAATGTTGTCCCTATTTTCAAAAAGGGGAAAAGAGAGGACCCAAATAATTACCGCCCAGTCAATCTGACATCAATACCAGGGAAGATTCTGGAGCAGATCATAAAGCAAACAGTCTGTGAGCACCTAGAAAGGAATGCTGTGATCACCAATAGTCAGCATGGATTTCTGAAAAATAAGTCATGTCAGACTAACCTGATCTCGTTTTTTGACAGAATTACAAGCCTGGTAGATGAAGGGAACGCAGTGGATGTAGCCTACCTTGATTTCAGCAAGGCATTTGAGACTTCCGGGGAGGCGCCTCCAGCAATGGCTGGATTCCTCTGATCGGGAAGAATCCGCTCCGTGGAAATTAGGGTCTGGCCGCCACGGCGAAGGCAGAGACCCATCAAAAACCAAAGGCAGGAGAGGCTTGTGGACGTGGGATTCAGCTGGCACCTTTTGCGCCCCCCCTACTCGCGGGAAAACCTGGTTTCGGGGATCCAGAGCGAGGTGGGGGTGAGTGGCGCGGTGCTTTGAAT